CATATACCTTATTCTAACTTCTGGACAAGCCAATTTATTGAGTCCTATCAAATCCCATTTTGACCTTGTTAATTATTCACTTATCAAAGCTGACTGTTGTTATATAAGTAAATATGAGTGTACATCTTATCCTACACATCACATGTCTGTAGCTTATTTTTGTGTGATTATAAATATCGATTAACGCTTGATTGAATCGAGTTGGCTCATTTGCCTTCTCCATCGCGCGTCATTTAGCTTCCCTTCGTCCTTCTGATTATCTGTCCAGATAAATGTTATATTTATTTAAACACATAAACATTGGTACAAGGAAACATCGAATATATATGCACCACACTTCGTCATTCGATCTGTATGAAGGCTGGAATACTGCCTGGGTGCCCAAACCGAAACAGGTGGTTTTCTTAGGGGGTCACATCCTGAACCTTTGACCTACACGTCTAACCCACAAGTCAGTGGAGAAACGTCAGGAGATACAGTCCCATGATAGCCAGTGATCAACAATAGGTTCATACGCCATTTGTTCCTTCAGGATCCTGAAGCCGATGTACAGCATTGGTTTAGAATCAGAGTTTTGCAACTGCTATGTTCACCAACGCGGTTAGAGCTCCGGACATTCGTTTTTCGTCCTCTCAATTTCGTAAACAACATCTCCACAACGAGGAGACAGTGAATAGGACTTACTTGGCAGTGGCTGTATACACGTGGCCATGTGAGAGCATTTGGAGAGGGAGAGCGGGTTCTCACCACTCTCGATCGTACCAGGGCATTTGGTGGCCCAGATAAATGCGTGTACAACATGTACGTATTCAAACATCCATTCTCGTATTTGACTTATTTAATTCTGTTATTCAACAACGCGATTGAAGTCGATGATTATATACTAAAATAGCTGTCGTGAATATTTCAATAACAATCAATCATCGTACGATATAACTGGAGTCAGATCTCGGGCCACTGAACGCGCATTACTTTCCGACGCTGGGAATGGTTGTAAAAAGTGAAGAGGCGGTTAGTGTATGACCTGGTGTCGTGATATGAAGGAAAGCTGTACAGGACTGGCTTGTGTTGGTCCATCACGACTCCCTGATTGGAGTCCTAGAAATGGTGCAACACAGTGGCTAGAGACATTATCAGATATGGCTCGGAATAGAAACCAGTGGTGATCCTGCTGTAACTTTATTCATAAAAAATGAACGTAACTTCCTTAATTGAAAGAATTCTTTCTGGTTATATTCTTGCTAACTGAACTGTTTCTCCCATTATTAATATTATTTCGCTCTCACACACTAATTTATGTTCGTCGTTTTTCTCCTTTATTATACGCACTTTACATTCTCTATCTCCTCGCAACCTCATTGTTATTGTGTGGGACACATCTATTTAGTGCACCCTCGTATCAATGTTTATGTGTTCAAATAAATAAATAATGAAACCAGGCAACAGTTACATTTTTAATGATTTTGAAAACCACTAAGTATTTTCTAAGAAAATCCCTTATGTCTCATTCTCTATTCTAAGCCAGCGTATAATTTATGAGCTGATGGTATATACAGAAATAAAATATCAATTTATTCCCTATGGGTTGTAAAAATAGCCAAAAATATTGTTAGCAGTAATATTCTCACTGTTAGTTATAATAATAATGACAAATATAGCGACAAACTACAGGGAGAACAGAAAGAAATATAGCAAAACGGAAGGAAGATAGAATTCAATAAAATGAATTAAGAGGAAGTAACGAGGTATGTCATTTGTAAAATGCAAAAAATAGGATTATTCAATGGCAGTATTCCATTCTATCCATCGATATTAATAATGTCGCTTTAATAAGTTATTCGAGGAAATCCGTAAAAAACCAGCTCGTCATTACGAACTGTTAGAAAATATGAAGTAATTGATGATTCTTCAGGAAATCGGACCGGAATCAGGCAGCACTACAATAAGATAATCCAGAACTAGGTTATCCAATTCAAGAGTGACAGCCTATTAAGACCACCAGTTACAGTACAACCTAGTCGACAGAATTCGACAAGAACTAGGGATTAGACTTTATGATATTTATTGGCTAATTAGTATGACCCTTGTCATTATTGCAAAGAATTATATATTAATGATGACAGCAGACTTTTTAACAGTAAACATGAAAATACCCTCGCTTTAACATAAATTAATCCATATATTCTGTTGTATTTCATATCTTTGCTGTTATAGAAGCATATTTTCTAGTTTGAAAACAAGAAATTTCATTCAAACAAAGTTTCTTGAAACCAAATAAATCAGCACAACTGTGCCGCCTAACAAATTGTGGTATCATTTTTATGGACTCTTTATACGTTGTTAGGGACATGAATGATCAAATACTGTTGTCGAGAATAAATGATAAATACATAGTAGTCGTTGTCATTAACAATTAAGAACACAATGTAAATTAACTGAAATGAATTTAAATCCCAATCATCAGTATGGGTACGTTTGATAGCTGTTAGATAAACTGACTTGTAGGTCACGAAAGTGATGTAAACCAATAATTCATGCTTTATTAAGCACCAATCATAATTCTGAATATAATAATTATTATGAGAGTAACTAATATTAATGGTAGCAATAGAATTACTAGTGAAACAAACAGAATAACAATAGAGATAACAGAAAGAAAATAAAATGATTCACATTTCGTCCTTACATGAAAACACAAACAAAAAACGATCTAGTAATAAACTTACAAATAATGTTTGTAACATAAAAAATCCCTGATGAATCAAAAATCATAACAATGGTAAGAAAATAATAATGGGTAAACATAACCTATTGGGCTAGGCTATACCTACAGCCTTGAGAACTAAAATCATTTTGTATCTGATGAAATGTTATTATACATAAAATGAGGTAACAATATGAGCATCATCTTTGTTCTGATAGAATAAAGTATCCATAGTTCTACACGCACATTAAAACTTAATGAATATGAAAAAGATATAATACCCTGTCCACTGTTTATTTTGTTACTTTATATACAATGTATCCTAATTGTTTTCTAGTGAACAGAGAGTAATGGTATGTTCATTTCTGTTTTTCCATAATCTCAATGAAAATTTGAAACAAAACATCAGGAAATAATGATACTTATTTATAAGTTACATTTACATTATATTTTTCTTTGAGGGAGAAAATAAATAAAAAGAACAGGGTGGAGGAGACAAAAACAGATAAACAGGAATTTATGTGTATCAAAAGTGTTTCATAAAAATAACTAAATATTGTCTGAAACTCTGAAAGGAGAATTCCTGTTAACTAAACAAGGATAAAAAATTTTAGTAGTAAGTAACTTAGTACGTCGAAAATAAAACTATAGAAATGGATGAAACGTTTGTTATTGTTAAGGACTACAAATCCTCGAATGATGGGACAGGGTAACTAGTATATATATAACGGTTTATAGGAAACAAGGTAATTTTAAGATAAAATTCGCACTAAATCAATATCCCTAATAGTAGGGAGCATTAAATTGATATTGTGTTTTATGAATTGTATTTTTTTGTTAATAACCAGTTATAACTTGTTTCATAATAACCAAATCATCAATTGATTATCGAGTTGCATTCCCAATCTTCTATAAATCTGTAGCATAAGTCAGTTTACGATAACAGTGGGGAAATGCACGTGAAAAACAGTCGCACACAATTGTAAATAAATATCGCCTAGAAGAGGGTAACTTTGCATTGATTTTCAGAAGAACCAGATACCTTTAAGGTTTTTACATTACCATATGAACAGTACAATACGATCCTGTGGCGTAACCGCACAGGTACCAAGATAACTCGTGGACAAAAGAAGACATAAGTTCACAAAAAGAGATGCTGTGAAGCATAGAGACTGATGATAAAACTGGGCTTAAAATTAATGTGTTCCACTTTCAATGTAACAGTGGATCTGAAGCATTTTTCTCCTAAAATGTATGCTCACTTTAAAATGAAGTAAAAACCAATTAGAACAATGGTTTGAAAATCAAGCATTTTATAACTTCGTCCCAAAATTAATACTTGGAAATCAGTAACTGAATATCAGGAACGAAGTACAGTAATAAAGGTATGTAATAACCTAATACAACTAGCTTGATTGAAGTGGAAAATTAAGACGAAAAAATTTCGAAGTCAGTTGTCATTTGCATTGACAATGACTCAAAGTCTGACTAAGAAAATATTGTGATTTCAGTTGTACAGATCGAAAAGGTAAACACGACCGTCAATTACTATTTTTCAATTATCTTTGGGCGAACTGAACCTACCTTAAACAATATTAATTCATGATAACACTTTAAAAATTAAAATCCTGTTGTAAACAGAAAAGGAAATGGTCAAAATATTAATTGACACTTTACTTGACATAAAAATAACCATATTATCAATACAGCCACTGCCAAGTAAGTCCTATTCACTGTCTCCTCGTTGTGGAGATGTTGTTTACGAAATTGAGAGGACGAAAAACGAATGTCCGGAGCTCTAACCGCGTTGGTGAACATAGCAGTTGCAAAACTCTGATTCTAAACCAATGCTGTACATCGGCTTCAGGATCCTGAAGGAACAAATGGCGTATGAACCTATTGTTGATCACTGGCTATCATGGGACTGTATCTCCTGACGTTTCTCCACTGACTTGTGGGTTAGACGTGTAGGTCAAAGGTTCAGGATGTGACCCCCTAAGAAAACCACCTGTTTCGGTTTGGGCACCCAGGCAGTATTCCAGCCTTCATACAGATCGAATGACGAAGTGTGGTGCATATATATTCGATGTTTCCTTGTACCAATGTTTATGTGTTTAAATAAACAAATTATCAATAGATAATCGCTGATTTTATTTCCAGAAATACGAAAGTAATCGAACTTTATCAATTGTTGTATTTTTATTTATAAAAAGTAATGTATTTATGTATAAGGGTAATAAAATAAGGATAGTTGTACTATTGCATAATACAAAGTTTATTAGATGGTAATAACTACTTTTGTGATTCAGACTGATATGCGAACTTTATTTGGTCAGCTGATCCAATCAAACGTTTAGATCCTTCAGCTTTAGCTACACGACTGCCGAATTGCATTGCACGTTTCGGTTGTTTAGATGCATAATTCAAATTCAACATTGAAGCAACTTGACGTAACAAAAATTTCTCTCCTTGACCTTTAGGCAAATCTGGATTTATCTAATAAAATGAAAATCATACAAAGTTTATTGAACGATTTGATTTCAGTTGCATAATTAAATAATCACTTGGAGGTAATTGGATATTAATGTCAATATTTTGTTTAGAATTCAGATGTCTTCAATGTTCTCATTCATTGGTAACTAAGCTATAATTCTCATGTTGTCTACTTCTTTGTTCCTATGGTGTTTTACTGATAGGTTTTGTTGTGTAACCACGAATCCTAATGACTAGATATTGTAGCGGACCTTTCTTATTATTACGTAGTTGAACACGTTCAGTAGAAGGAACATCAGTCTTACGAGGGGTTAGGTCAGGTCGATTGACTCGGTGGTAAAATATCCAACTGAAGCACTGTTATGTTTACTTGAATTACAAGGAGAAATCTATTTCTTTCGAGATCACAGGTAAGAGCTTTTGACAAGTTCACAAAATCTAGGGTTCATGTTTTTCTCTACACTCATTCCTACCAACTAACTCCTAATACAGTAGAACATAACATTGCAAAACAGGGTTCATTTAAAAATGACTATATTGTAACAGTGGGATCAATTTCATTTAACATTTCCGTGAGGATAACCGTAATAACATGCCTTTACATACGGTAATAAACAAAAACAGTTAACTTATTTATGGAAAACATTTTCAATATGATATATCTGCAAATTACTTATCAGACCACGGATAACTAACCGAGAATATTTATGCAGATCAGCAATCAGTACACAAATTTGAACTTTAGACCAACATGGCACTTTGCAATGAAGAAAACTTCATCATATACCAAAAGTCTGCGTAAACGTACACATTCCTTAGTGAGGAATTTCGATGAACAATAATTCCAGACACCCCTTGTTGAGGAACGATAACTAATACGAAACCTTTGCTCAGACCCTACTGTTCCTTACCATCAACTACTTAACAGAGAGTACACCACTATGTATAGTCACTTAGCTCAACAACTATATTATAATTAAGTTAACAGGACTAGATTAACACTGTGTATTAAAAAAAAGACTATCTAATTATTGTGAAAAAGTGAAATCGGACAACAAATGGGCAGATAAATAAATATAAGCTAGAAATTAAAATAAAACGATGCCATCACAGGAATCAATAGTCATGACTAATTTAAAGGGGAGATAGTGCGCCGCAATGATACACAGAGCAAACATTTTATTAATATGTAGGCTGGAAATCTAGTTGAAAAAACTAAGATACCTTAAAAACATTACAAGACTAAAGCAGTCGTGTCAAAATTTTTATACAGGTAGCAGAACAGCCATTCGCTTATAATATACAAAACTCGACGGATAAGTTGAAAATGTAAATATTAATGATTCTAAAATAAATACAGTGAGGACGAAGAACAAAACATGTCTTTTATCGGTTAAAAGAAGTCACAAGTTTCCATATAAGTAAAACTAACCCATATGTCTTCAGTAGAAGTTTTTGAAACCTCGTAATTCATTATGTCGATCTAGCTAATCAAATAATTCTTTTCGAAATGAACCAACATTTTCTCTATATATCTATTCTTCTATGCGACCTGCTAAGATTTTTCAATATAATACTTATTAGGATTTTCATAATTCTATCTCAAGTGATGAACATCTAACAAAGCTTATCAAATACGTGACTAGTTATTATTGCGCAATCCCTTGACATCATATATTAATTATCAGAAAAAAAAACACTTAGATCCCCTAAGCATCTACATTTGTAAGATTATATCCTTGAGGGTGGCCTGATTGAGCATCTGGGCTACTTGTTCCTGCCATCTAGATATTTCAACAAGTTATCTATTTTTGCTTGTTTTAATATATCATTATGTCTATTAATTGCACAACCTATTCTGCTGAGTTTCTGAAAAGTGTACAACCTTTCGTTATCAAAGTTACGAAAAGCTCAATAAGAGATAATGTGGTTGCTGGCAATGTACAACGAAAAGAATGTACATTATTCAGATGTTCATTTAGTGAACTGCTAACATCTAACTGGCGATCACTCAGTATTTATCGCCAGGACCGACCAAGAAGAAAGAAACGGAAACTTGTTGAAATACTTTGTGCTGAGAATTCTATATTGTATCAATAATATAATATTGAATAAAGCTAATAATAATAATAATAATAATAATAATAATAATAATAATAATAATAATAATAATAATAATAATAACTTATTGATAAAATAATTTCTTTATATATTATAACCATTAAATTCACCTTCTTAATAAACTATCCTTATTCCTTCATAAATAATTCGAAATTTATTGACTAACTCATCAATATTTAATGAATAGTGATTTCATTGTTTAGTTTCGGAATACATATTGTAATGTACAATCATAATTACAAACGAAATAAAAAAACAAACAAAGAAAAAACATTTTTCATACATATGATTCCTTTGAAAAGAGCAAGAACAAAGATTTGAACAGAATAACGTAAATTCATTTGATTATCATCAGTATGTGTACAAAATGATTTTTTTACAAAATACACAAATGAGTATAACTGGAAACTTGTTTTAACAAATATCAGCCCTGTACATGAGCTATGTAAATAAATTCCAGATATTGAGTAGAAAATACTACAAATATATATATCTTATATGATAGAATAGTTCATGATAATGATAATAAAATAAAAGCCAGAGAGCTGGAAGAAATAAATGACTACATGATTACTGAACAGTAGCTGCAATAGGTAATAAAATGAGTAAAGCTCAGCTAATTAAAATGAAATTATCGATCTAGGAGAGAGTTGAAAATGTACTTAGTGATTGAACCAATCATGAGAAATATCTAAACAAAATTTTATGATACAACAAAAAAAATTTTTTTTCCTCGCTAAATCCCTTATTTCTTAGCGTAAAATATTCAAAAATGGATTTAAAAAAAACTTAATTGCAAATCTCTTTCCCACCGACTTGAAAAGTGCTGAACGATTGTCATGTATTTGCTTATTCAGGTAGTGAATTATACAGTTCTTAATTATTGTCTTATCAACAAAAACTTTAAAATAAATTAAAACATTGAGTCATAGATCTTTTTCTATGTAGAAAAAGCTGGAAATAATACAGAAAGCCTGCATATTCAAATATGTTTCTATACGAGAAATCCAACACATGGAGTTTTGATTACAAAATCCATTATTTGATCTCAGTCAATAAAAAAACAGTAAAACGTTTATGTAGTGTATCATGGGAAAGCAATTTGGAAGAACACTGTCCTAAAAAAACTGTAATGAGGAAAGTCACATAATACGAATATTTATAGGATTGGAAACGGATCTTGTAAATGTGATATGGGGAAAAGTGATCATGTTAGAACCATGGTAACGAAACCCACGTAGTTAGTACGGTTATACATAGACGTTGAATATATTGAGAATTTATATCGGATTTACTGAATTATCGTTTGCTAAGCCATGTTGCATGTAAATATTGTGGTAGAAAAGAGCCCTATAACGTATCAACGTTCCTGGATTCACAAGCCCAAGTAAACTAAACTGGTCAAACCTTTAAAATCGTTTATTGAAAGGTATACAAATAAATAACCATACGATTTATAAAACTTTTTATACATCTAACAATCGATTACTTCTTTTCTAAATGATGAAATATTTAGGATTATAACGTATAAGGATATAGATATGTTGCCAAACATTCCGCATATTAGAGCGAACTTTATATATTTATTTAACACATAGATATTGGTACAAGGCGGCACCAAATACATATGCGCCACACAAATCTCATTTGATATGTGTGAGGGCTGTGATACCGCCCGGGTGCCCAAACCGAAACAGTTGGTTTTCTTAGGGGGTCACATCCTGAACCTTTGACCTACAAGTCTAAGTCAGTCAGTCAGTAACAACGTAGAACTTCGTACGTACGTACATCAGTTCGAGTTGCCACACCACATAAGCACAGAGATGCAGTTGTCGATTCAAATCCCGTAGTGGTAGAGGTAATAAGAGTATAAGCAGTAATCGGGAAGATTATGGTTTGGAGATGTTATTCAAGGAGTATAATCCAGTGAAATAAATTTGGAAAGAGGAAAAAAGGGACATGAAGAATTCAGAAGATTAGAATTTGGGAGAACACAAAGAGTGGATGCACCTGCGCCATTGCAAACGATTTTGAGCCATGTCATTCAGGGTCTCTAACCATCGGTTGTTATCATCTCGTGGTTCCCAACCAGGTAGTCTACACCTACCAACATGACTCAGTCCACTTGTCAGTGACTTCATGGACTTGTGCCATGTTTTTGGTTTGGCCGCCCCTAGCTTTCTTTTGACCTACTCCTATACCACTGAACATAGCACGTCGAGGTAGTCGGTCGTTGGGCATATGTAACACGTGTCCTAGCCATCTCAACTGATGAAGTTTCACTACGTCATCAATTGATTTCCCATCCTTACCTAGTACCCGTTTCCTAACAACTGTGTTACTTACTCGATGGTCCCATGATATACGAGCAATGTTTCGAAGACACTTATGATCGAATACTAGTAACCTACGAATATCCTCTACTCTTACCGGCCATGTTTCACTGCCATACAGTCCCATGATAGCCAGTGATCAACAATAGGTTCATACGCCATTTGTTGGTTTAGAACCAGGTTTTTCCAACCCCCTATAGGTGGACTCTCCATGTCCACCAACCCAGTTAAAGCGGCGGACACTCGCTTCTCGTCCTCTCAATTTCGTAAACAACACCCCCGACACGAGAAGGCAGTGAGTAGGAATTCCCTAGCAGAGGCTATATACGCGTGGCCATGTGAGAGCACTTCAAGAGGAAGAGTAGACTCTCCCAACTCTCGGCCGTACCAGGGCATTTGGAGGTGCTTTACTTGTTATGACGGGCTGCAAACATGTGCATTGATGGCAACCAGAATAGAACAGATGTAGAACGAAACAAATCCAATGAAATGTGTGAAAAATAGTTTCATGTATTTCTGAATATATCTATAGTTGATTTGTGTCAATTTTAAGAGGGAGGCGAGAAGAAAAATGAAGATTGAACGAAAGTTTTAAAAATATACAATAATAGAATTATTACATTCATTTATTGCAAAAACGAAACTATATACTTAGAATTAATAAAGTTAAAAACTATAAACATTTTTAAAGAGACTTGAAAAGAGGTTACCAGTAGAATTCAGAACATGTGTTACGATATAGTAGCTAAGTAGATAACGCATTTTGAGTTTGAAGGGAAAAATAGTAGGTTCGAGTTCCGATGTGAACATCAACGTTCAGCTAAGGAATCTTAAACAGAACAAAGGACGCGACCTGCATTTCATTGCTAACCACCACCACTAATTCTGTTTAAAAATGCTTGCGATTTAGAAGGCATATGGAAGCAATCTGTACATGATACACGTACTCCAAAATAAACTGATCGATTGCAGTTTTTAACATCAACGAAATCTAATACAACCATTACAAATGAGTTAATAAACTCGTTTCAAGTCCAATACATTTTCGTCACTTTATTCTAAATGCTGCAAAGATAGAACTTAATTAGTGATAAAAAAACATGAAATGACGTGGTTCGTCATCTAATATAGTAAATACTATGCTTCAATTAGTCTCAGGATGTCCTTTAAATCTTCAATAGTCAACTAATAAAACAACGACTATCAAAATGATTACAGAAATACTTTGTTGATAAATTTCAGTTTGTACCATTACCTCTCGTTATCTGCTTAAAATAAATCAGCAATATAAACTAATAACTATGAGCAAATGAGTGCGGTGATACTCCAGTGTGTAAAATAATATGTGGATCACTTAAAGTTGATACTGAGTTTAGAAATTTAAGCAAATTGAATGATTATCAACTTCCAACTGCAAAGTTTATTCTTTATATAATAGTTGGTATAAAAGTGCATAGGATGAGAATTCTACAGAAAACCACTTACTAATTGGTTATATTATTATTCTTAATTTGTACATCCGAACTTTTGCCCTCTTAATCAAATACATTGTTTATTTTTACTGATCATCTGTACTTTGAGTACGCGTAACGTTTGTTGTATTTTGCAAATTTTTCTGAACATTTGTATGCGTATATTCAATTTCCTTGGGTTAATTTTTCTTGACTTTTCCCAATAAATCTTTCATAAAATATTGGATTAGATGGAGTTAAGGGAAAAAAACTATTCATTAATAATCAGATCTTCATAAACAAACCATCTAATCAATTTTCATCTAGCAATTATATTAAACCATGTCTCTTTGATTAGATTTTAGAATAACCAGTTTGTTTGACCCAGAATAAACCTTACAGATTAATTACAGAAAAACCTATTCAGTTAATTAGACTCTGAATTTCAATGACACATTCTCGTGGTATTCGAGATCGTAATTAATTGTATCGATTTTGAAATAAAGACATGATTTTTAGTTGGGGAATAGACAGGTTATTTTCTAAATAGTAACGGCAAAAACAAGTAGAGAATTCGGAACTAAACAATGATTCAAATCTAGTTTGTAAAATACTCAGATTATCTAGACATGCAACACAAATAGAAGAGGTTCTTAATAATTCTAAAACCAGAAAATCTCATGAAACCTGTATGAAAAAAACAGTTGAGCTATATCATTAGGCACTAAATGCATTAATGCATAATTCTCAATACAAAACCTTCGTAATCATACGTATTTTTGTATAATAATCAGTTCCGACAAACGTACTATGAAAATCGGTTTCTAAGAAACAGATGTTCAATATTTCATTGTTCGATTTGATTACATTTTAGTTTAAGTGGTAAGACCTGAAAAATAACCGTCTTTCACGTCTTTACAAGAAGTCGATTCCATGATTTTTTAGTAAAGTTGTCTAGTGAGCCTCCCAATATGACAACCGATGAAGATCCACGCCAAACAATAAATACACTGGAGCAAACATTATGTTTATATCCTCGGGTACTCTCTTGTGTAGAACGTCATTAGTTATATCTCCATTTAACTGTAAAATATACGTGAAAACATGCAAGCAGACACTGGTAATAATAATAACCTCATTTGTCCACCGTTCTTTATGTGAGGGCAAGCTTTTTTGTGACATAACCGGTTGATTTTATGACTCTGACGTTCTCGATTATTTCCATTTAAGGAATGATTTGAATAGGTGGCTAGTACCTTTCAACATATACTAAGGATTTGAATGAGAAGTCTATCATTAAAAATTTAACCAAGCATGAATTAGAAGGTTCAGTAGGTTATGATTAATAAAGCAATACTAATTCTAAATACGATACTGTGTAACTCAAATTTAGTTGTGACAAGAAAATTGTAATTTCACAAATCCTGTTATTTGCTAACAAACACATAAAAGTTAGTTAGTTGCCCAATTGAACACAAGCATTTCCAATTATTTATTACTAGTTGTTCATCTCAACGGTAAAATCGAAGAGACACCAAGAAAGAAGTACACACGCACAAAATAACATTTTAACAAATTAATAGACTATCACAAGCCAATAGTGAATAAATCACATTTACAACACATGAAAACAAACAAAATAAATTCCAAAACACATAAATAAGTTAACAAAATTATATTTAACACAAAATAAACATTATTTCACAAATTTTCAGGATGTTGTCATCATTAATGTCGTTGATAATATAATGGAATTTCACATAAATAAAAAAAAATTTTTTTCCGTTGTAACGAGAAAAAATGTAAATAAATTAATAAACAGGAAAACAGCAAATGAACAAACTAATTTGTCCCATGGAATTCGCGATGAGTTATATATGCATTTATATAATTACATTACCACCCACTTAATCCAACTAAACCTTGTATGTGCATACTTACGACGAAACGATACATATCAATAATAATAATAATAATAATAATAATAATAATAATAATAATAATAATAATAATAATAATAATAATAAAGGATAAAATTCAGTGCTCAAGACCATATACTGCAGATAAATGTTTTTCATTTTCCAAGTGGGCTAAATTAATTATAAACAGTTTAATCAACGATAACAGAAGTTATTGAGAGCATAAGTCGACCATACCATGGACAAAAATTACGATGAACCAGAGAATTGTTTCACTCCAGTATGAGACTACATAAAAGTGATCTGAAGGTCATGGGTGCAACCCCTGATGGGATCGAATGACATCTATCATTGTAAAACTTAAATTACCCCCGTGTAATAAGACAAATCCAAAGTTTGAAGCACAGGAATTAAGCTCAGTGCTATTACATTCTCTGTAAAACCTGAATGTTCGAGATTCGATAATGTGTGAAGTTATGAGTCTAAAACGATGATGAGTTTCAATAACATTTGATACAACCAATCTCTGTATTAACCCCATTCCGATGTATATAGAAAATCTGGGAAATTTTATCAAATGTCAAGTTTTTATAATTTAAAATAAAAAAAATATTCCTTCCTAATTATTTTCAACTCATATCATTTCTGCCGAGCAAATAAATAATACATATATAAATTATCAGTACGGCATGAAGGATGAAAAAAGTTCCACTAATGAGTTGGTAGTTAGATGTAAAACGTTTGGAAAAAAACCATCGTGGCATCAATAAATACTCTAATTTCATATGATTTAGAAAGCGATCCAAATGTTTATTACTATTCATTTTAACATCCATTACCACTGACAAATTAATTCCACTTACAGTTCCAAGTTTAGATTCTGTATAATTTAAAACATATTTGCCTCAATTGTGACTATTCATTATGATTACTTATTTGAATTCATAAATAGAATCTAATTAGATTAGACAGCTTTTTTAATTTACAACATCAAATCCATTTCAGGAAGTTATAAGTTAGTATGTAGAGTAAAACACACATTAGTTATCATATTATTTATCTATTTAGTGCACTATACATTCATTGAAAATCTGGAAATGATGTAATGTACAAGAATTATGGATTTAACTATTATAAATAAACCATTTCATTAATTTATGTCACACAATTTCAAACAAGCACATGATTAAGAAAGCACTTAAATAAACTTTAAAAATTGATAGCATCATGTAATGTTGAACAATGCAACTCATACTGATGATAGTAATTTTATACTTCGCTAATAGAATTAATTAATCTGTTACATATATAGGCCACATAAATCACTTTCGGAATAATATTTTTAGTGTATTAAAGTGTAATAAAACAAACCAGGTATTATATATATCATAAATCTCATTCCATATCATGATTTCGAAAATAACGTTTTATTTCTTCTCTTTTTATCAAAACTATTTGCCGACTCAATACTTCTGAAGTTAAGCGCTCGCTGTGTGATTTAAGGTACTGGGTTAGATCCCTGATAAGGTCGCGAATCCGTACTTATCAATCCTATACTAAGACAAAATAGCTGTTAAACGTTTCCTGGTTCTCGGTGATTGTCTAACTAAGACCAACCCTCTATGTAAATTACGACTAATTCAACACGTACAGATGTGCATATTCAGTTTTTGGTGGCACTCTTACTTAGTGTCACGACTAGTGTATCGACCGGGTGCCAAAACGGAAGTAGACGTAGATATGGGCTATGGTCTCTAACCCAATCCAAGTGATTTCATCCCCAACCCACCTTAAATTAGATTACAAAATCAAAGAATGAAGACAGTATAGCTAGTTTTAATCTGAATGTACAGTCAATTGAAAGATTTATTCGAAATATATTTTAGAAAATATAGTTCAACAACTACTCACATATAATCAACTAACACCTGTTTATCAGTCTCATGTTACGGATAAACTGATTCTTACTTTCAGCTGTGCTGATATTTACCATAAAATGCACTTAGAGTGAACACTTATATAAGTACTTACTTTAAATTCCAAAGGAATTTTAGCCAAAAAATTCACAATTCTTTCGTCAAGATAAGGTAAACGCGGCATTCGTCCATGAGCGGAAATTATTCTATTAAAATAGAGAAATTGTCAATAAACAACATTATTGGTTTAGTATCACGAAATATAAGTCACTGAAATGAAAATTAAAGAGTTACACTCCTAAATTGTGAATGACCAGTAAGGTTATAAAACTAAGCAGATGAAATCGACCTTTGACTTAGCGATTACTATGTGCAGAATGAACAAAGAAATCGTCAGTCCCAGGTAAACGAGAACTGTAGTTCTTACTGCAAAAATTTAAACTAATCAATTTATGCAAATAGTGGGCTGACAGTTAAATGATAAAAAGATGATCTGTGTTGCAGAAGTTTAACTACTACAACTTTCCGTACTTACTTTCAACAAGTGATTTCTTTCGTAGTATATATCCAAAACGTAATTCAGAAGGATTTAATTTGAAGAGATCTAATTTTGAGTGTATTAAGCTTATTTCACATAAAATGCTGTTCAATTATAGCGAAATTATATATATATATATACCCTTCATTTACTAAGCTTACGCCGAGTGCATGTAGATGGGAAAGAATTAAAAATAGAAAAACGTGCATAATATATGGCTTGTTTACTTTTGCAATGATCGCTATTAGAATATTCTACATGTAGCAATACCGAAAGATATTTTCATCAAAGGAAACATTTCAGTTAAAAACAATTTACCACTTAATAATTCTTCGAAAACTGTCATCTTTATTCTACTAATCTTCAATAATATAATGTATAAGTAAAATAATTATGGCTATTGTTTCTAGGTTGAAAATGGCTGACTAGAGTCCATGAAATAGATGAATTCACTTTAATTTGCTTTAATTTAGTTGTTGTTTAACAGACTGGTATTAATAATTGTATATAGATTACAATAATTCATCAGCAAACCTACTTAATGTGTTAAATAATACTATGTTAAAGGATTGCTGAAGAGTTCTTTAAACCAGCTAACTTGATCTAATATGATTTTCTGATATGAAATGAAGAAAATTCTCTCAAATGATCATACATATAATCCCATACAAAATATACGTCTATTCACTTCGAAATTCAGGATGTAATAATAATTGTTCCATTCTATTTTAGATTATTTGTTTTGCTACTATTTTCTAATGGAACTGAAATTAAGAGATTCAGGCTTTATAACAATTATAACCTATACATTTATGGTCTAGAAATTGTCATTCTCGGTTTACATCACGTCGCAAAAGTTTATTTATCCCATACTTCAGATAACTCGAAAAAAATCCAAACAAAATAATCAAATGTACATCGACATATCAATCATAGGATAACGATAAATTTATCCTTACGAATTATTTATTATTAGTTTATACGACGTATATTTCACGATTGTCTTTCAATCAGACAATACATCATTGGTTATTTCAAAGTCAGTCAGTCAAACATAATCAACTATATGGTTCAGTAAATCTAAATTAACTTATCATAGAAATTAGTAGGGAAATAGAAATGAAAGAGAAGTGCTGTGAAAATCTAATGACCTGAAGATAATATTCGTTATTATCATTATTACTATCTGGCCAAATAAACAAACATGCAATGTGAAAGTTTATAATTCATCTTCTATTTAACATCATACAAAATTAATTATATTTCTATGGATTCAGTAATTTCTAATCGATTACGAATGTTCACTTTTACAAGATTGTTTGACCGTTTTTTGATTTATGAACAACAGTGAGTAAATAAAGTGCATTTTAAAAAAAACAAATAAGAAACTAATCAGATTATTTGATTTTTCAATCTTCAGCACACATGAATATCATCACATGAACTATTTAGACAACTAAATAGCAAGCAACGACGATACTAAACAATATCGAACTATAATATATTCAGATTTCGCGATGAGTACCATTAAATTCGAAGCTGATCGTCTACAGTTTAAATATCCATCAACTTTTAATTATAATATGATCATTACATCTAATCTTATCGATGAATAACTATATCACTTATGATCTGACTGATTTTATAAGTTACAATCCATCGACAGAATTTTAGCTGAGTTTATCTCATCACAAGTCAACTATGATAAAGTTGTTTTGTTAAAAATGTTTTTATATATGGAAAATAATTTTCACCAAGAGCCAACTTCAGATGTAAACATAATTAACACCAGAGAATAGAGGAGAAAATGTTGGTAGAAACTCTGTGTTTAAATCCAACATTTTATAACTAGACTCAAAATCTTATTGATAACAAATTTGACTGTTGTACATAAATATTATATATATATATATATATATATATATATATATATATATATCAACTGTTTCGAGATCTTTTATCAGTTGTTTAATTCAATTTCATTTCTGTTTTGGAACCAGTGAATTCCCCTTAAAATTATGATCGTGTTTTCGCGATAACTGTTTTAAAAACTTATATAGTTTGTAGATATTTTAATCATTTATAAAGAGGTTCATTGAAAGTATTTAATTAGAAGTAGTGTTGACTGATGAGAGAAAAATCAATCACAGACATTATAATTTCCTATTCGATTAGAAAAAAAATCGGTTTAAAGACACTATATACTGATCAACCTCTATCTAAACTGATAATATCAATTAATTACAACATAAGATATAACTGTAGACAAATAAATGTCAGATCGTAGTAAGCACCTGCAAAAAATCTGAAACCTTTGCGTCATGAACTGTCGATCGAAATTCTTGTTTGAGCATCAAGGTACAATCGAACTATCTGACCACAGTTTTTGCACGAAATCACATACTCATTGTTATCAATAATTTGTGAACCTAGAATATATTATGTTAAGTAAAAACACTATGAACCATGAACAAATAATTTAACATTTTAAATAAAATTGTGAGCTACTTAACATATTTGTAAAGCTCAGTCTTGACCATATTTATATTGACTTTCAGTTAGTGAAAAGTTAATAACTTAGACGTTACACAGAGAAATACCAATATAATCAATTTTGTATTAAGTAAAATATAATCTTATCATATATGTACACAGAACGTACTATATATTCAATCAAATAGGTGTTGTCATTCCTTTTGAAATAGCGATTTGAAGTCGTTATTATTTTAAAATGTGAAGCATAAATTTGTCAAGTTAACTACCTTATACGTGTCACTGTTCCATGTCATTTCAAAATTTAATGTTAATTAGACAGTTGGCCATCATCACAAAATGCATTTGGTAATGTTAAAACCATTGATTTACCGGTCCTCTGACTTCAAGGTGAACATACTGACACTTATTCAGTCATATCACAGTAGTAAAATTTGTGTTATTCTGATGGACTTCAAACGAATCATATTATTACCAACAAACGACAACTATTAATCTTGACTTTGGCAGCGGTGTTCACGATGTAGTTGATAATACACAATACGATATACTGTACGATGAATGGGTAGTTCAGATATTACAAAATGTGCTTTAGGTGATCATGTTAACCATGACATATCCTTCAACGAATTTTTTCATCTTTTAGTATTTATTTTGTATTCTGTTTCATATTATTATGTACACAATAGATGATCGTACACCACATTTTTTAGTCAATTTTCACTTAGAAGAAAATTACAGAATAATTTACCATAAATAAAAATGCATTTCTCTTTGTAATAGTGATATTTTTCAATTTATTTATTACACCCTTGAGATTGTTTGATGTTTATAATTTTGTCTGGTAATAATTTATTTGGTTATTTCTTCAACAGAAGTGGGAAAGAAATTAAACTTATTAGGAAAGAAAACTATTTCATGACTGTGTGACGCCCGACCGTTGCTGCTACTTTGACGTTGTGATTGTGCTTGCCTATCGTGATGAACCAATCGGGTTATACTGACTGGAACAATCGTTCCTCAAGGTCCTACTATGCCAGGCAGGTCGAGTGAACGACGATAAGAGTAAAAGCAGCACACCCATAGTCCGAGAGTGAAATCATAGTACTGACAGCAATAAATTGTCTCAGAAACAGCATAAGAGTGATGCTGACTTCCCACAAGGAAAGGTGAGATTAGAAAAGGTCGACCTTAAAAATACATACCTCGCTTTATCCTACAGATTTCCGTCTACGGAGATAAAGTCCCAATAAGTACGGAGCTAACACGAAAATTATTGTCTCTGAAACATGCATACAGGATCCTGGTGTGATCATTCACTTGACCTCACCCCGCCAAAACAGGAAACTCTCCGTTTATCTGGCGACCCGACAACAAGTTCCCGTGGACTGGCGGGTGTACTCATTGCACTAAATATGAAAGGAGAAGCACTTTTAGAATGGATCCTTGTTGATAGTCGCCTATGCGCCCTTCGGCTAAATGGCTGCGTAAGAACTCAGAAGTAAAGGGACAATATCGTTGCCTTTTCGTCATTTCTGCCTACGCTACCACTGACTGTATCCCGGATGAAGTGAAAAATGAGTTTTAGAGAAAGCTTTCTGAACTTCAGAAAGTTAAACACGCAGACATAGTACTTGTAGCAGAAGACTTTAATGCCCGAGTAGATAGCTCAAATCAATAAGAAAGACATTTGAGTGGGTATTTTGGTATTCCTGTTCCGCTAACAAATAATTGTGATCGTCTGCTGCAAATTTGCTCAGACAATTGTTTATTTTACGTATAAAGAGAGACAGCGTCTAAAATGGAGGCGGACTGCACCAAACCAATGATGTTTCATTTTATTTATTTATTTAAACACATAAACACTGGTACAACAAGACACCAAATAGATATGCGCCACATAAATTATTTGATTTCTGTGAGTGCTAGGATACTTCACAGGTGCCCAAACCGAAGCAGGTGGTTTTCTCAAAGAACCACACCCCGGACGTTCAACATAAAGGCTTAATCCACAAGGCAGAGGAGCAATGTAAGGAAATACAGTCCAATGGTAGCCAGTGACTAACAATAGGTTGATACGCTATTTGTTTCCTTAGGATCCTGAAGCCCATGTACAACACTGGTTTGGAATCCGGATTTCCCAAGCCCATTAGGTAGATCATTCATAGCCGACGA